TTAAAATCATAGAATCAACTAGGCTGGAAAAGACCTTTAAGATCATCGAGTCCAACCATTTGCAGATACGCTTTTTCTGAACAGAATAAAACAGAAACTTAGCATTTCCAAAAACTATTTTAATAGACTGTAAGTCAACATAACTTACAGCACAGAACTTCATGTGTCAGAATAAATTTGGTTTTATTCACTGTCTTTGTAAGATTCACCAAGTCTGCCAGCACCAGGGAAGGAGGGCACAGCCCATTCAGAAACGAACAGGGCCACAAGTTACTCCTCTCTTCTGACAAACCAAAACCATGCAAGTTTAAATCCCTCCTGATATCCTCTTCAGATTGAGGAACACTTCTAGTATGAACAGAAGATGCTTACCTTTGTAACTTCTTCATATGCAGATGGAGTAGCCTGTGACTACTGCTTTAAACCTGTGGCGTGGGAGAAAACTGGTTCAACCACCTTGATTTGCTAAAGCAATCTACACTAAAATTGTATTGACGCATCATTACTATTAGCACTACAAACTACACATGATTCTAGGAAAGCTATTTTGTAAACCATACCTCCGTAGATCTTTCTGTTCTTCCCACTGTTTCTGCTTCAACAGCTTCTTCCTTTGCCTCTTGGACATGAGCTCAAGGCATTCTTCCTTGTTTGAGCCTGCCTCCTGTCTCTCTATTGGACTGCCACTGGACTTCACCTTTCCTTCCACATCAGGAACTTCAGGGAACATGGTATTTTCCCTTGTCTCCTCTGGACTTCCTACTGGTGTTTCTGATGACATTAGCTTCTGGACAGGTTTATTGCCTGGTTTCTCAACAAGTGATAAATATTTCATTAAAAGCAAGCTTTTCCCTTGTCGATTCTGTAAGAACCAAAACAATAGTATGAGTGTTATTAACAAGAAGTTCAATTACAAGAAATAACACTCTACCTACCATAAACCTGAATAAAGAAAAAATAACAAGATATGGCCTTTTTTTGTTTGCTTGTTTAAAGCTAGGTTAGTGTTTCTGCAAACTGCAACATATAAAATACTAAAGAGATTATAACCCATATTCAAGCCACACCTAAAACTCTGCCTGCTACAACTGCACCTATTTAAAAGTTTCCAATTAAAAACTTTGTGAAACACAACTGCATAAAAGTAGGGAACCATACTGGATTAAATGTAAAAGAAAAAACAGCAGCAGTTCTATTATGCATACAAGAACTAACTCAAATACATAAACAGAAAAATTAAAAGAGGCTTCTTGTGGCAGTACATTAGAGAAATATAATTTTAAAGATACTAAAGCCATATAGGGGAGGAGGGAGAATTGTGATCAAGCTGTACCCCTTCAGAATTATTTTCTATTTCTTCTGAAATCAAAGACATTGGCCAGCCACTAACACTGGCCATTGCGAGTGCACAAAACCCAGCAAGTAAGGGGATGAGCACACCAAACTGCTACTCAGCAAAACATTGTGTTCAAATCAGTTACAATTGTACCTTCTCCCTTCCAATGGCAAGTATCTTTTTCACACTAGCAGCTCCCCAACCACATAGTTCTCAAAAAATAACTACTTCACTAGAGAATATTGTATCTACAGTCAACATGCATTAAAACAGAAAAATCCCCCAGCTTCTTCTGTAACAGAAGAGTTGGAAAACACACGAAACACCAGAAAACTAGAAGTGTTTTAGCTAATGTACCCCGATTTCCCTCTCTGAGAGTGTTAAGCCGTAAGGCGCAGGGAGTGGAGATGGTCTGGAGTGCCAAACGGCAGGGACCCGCGTGGCGCAGGTGCATCTGAACCACCACAGCACGCACACCCTGCACAGACCGAGCATACAGCTGTGAGTATATACACAGACGCACACAAACGCACACACATCTATCTATCTATATATACACACACACGTATCTATGTATACACGCGTTATATATGTAGAAACACTCGCGTTATTTTTGCTCACGCGCCTGAGTACTTCATAACTCAAAAGGACCC